TCGTTTACTTCTTCTGAAAATTCATTTTTTGTTTACAGAACATTTGGTTTCATATGTAATACAATAGTTTAGTAAATAACTATCTGGAAAAAAAATCGTTTTTATACTTTATGACGTAAATTTCTGTCTTTTTTTTTTAAATTTTAGATCTGTCTTATGGACAGGAAGCCCCGAAATATTTTGTCTTACAACACTGTTTTAGAATAGGTGGCCCTTTCTGCACAAAATATGATAGTTTTTATTGATAAACTAAGTATGTGACGTAAATTTTGGTCCTTTTTTTAAAAATTTGTCAGTTTCTAGTGGTTCCCGGTTTGGGATATAAGACAAAACAAAATCAAACTGTGTTTTCAATCCACATTAAATCTAGGCCGAATAGCCCTGGCAGCTGAGGCCTAAAAAAATTGAAAAGAAGAAAAAGAAATAGAAGAAGAAGAAGAAAAAGAAGAAGACACATTAAATCTAACAGTTAAAATTTTTATACCTTATGACGTAAGTCTTGAGGCAGTAGCTCCCGGTCCAAATGGTTCATTCGTTGGGTTTAGAAAAAAAAAATGTTCTCGGTAAATGGGTTTAATCTGTTCTTTAAACATCTACCTATGGTCATTGAGAACAAGGCGTGAAATATTGAAAGATTAAACGAACTTACCTGAAGTGAAGTTCGATCTCAATTATATGAAACACCTTGTTCAAGATGATCGAACTCACCCACACACCTATACCCAAGATCATCTCTACAAGATTCAAACACCATTACCGCTTTAAAAGAATGACGTAAGAGTGTATCTGGCTATCACGGGACGGGAGCAGAGGTGGGAAGAACTGGCACCACCAGTTGTTATTTTGGAACTTTGTTAAATACTTTTAAGGGTATTTAGACTTTAAATTCGTGGCCACAGAGCAAGGAAAAGGGGGGAGGGTACTACCTATGATCATCTCGAACAAGGCGTTTCGTATAATTGAGATTGAACTTCACTTCAAGTAAGTTCGTTTGATCTTTCAATAAATGACTCTATTGAAACTAAAACTTCGGCCACCGTTTGCCAACTGCCTCCTTTCTCGGGAATGTGCCTGTGCTGGGACGCCCTTTTATAAATTTCAGAGCAAAAAAGCTCAAACGAATTTAATGTCTAAATCACCTATAAATTGTATGTGCGTAGTTTATCTGAATTGAAAAACAAAATTCGTGCACATCTTTAGCATTAAACATCAATATTATTCTATTAGTTTTAATTTTCTCTTTCTTCTACTATTTTTTACTTTTTACATTTACTCAAACGCTTTCAGTCAATGATGGTTGTCTTTTAAATATCACTATGACTATCTGTAGAGTATAAATCATAATAAGAAAACCTTGAAAATCATGAAAACGTATTGCAATATTTTTGTTGTCATACACCAGTACCAATTTCGGCAATCTTATCTTATTTGTATTCTCAAGTGAATTAATTGCATACATGCATTTCTGTCGAGTTTGCCTGTGCATACTTATAAATTTATATATTTTTCATAAAGAAAAAAACAAACACATTGCTATTCCATGTATTTACACAGATTTGTTTCGCCGTGTCCTTAATATCTTTAGATAGAATTTTTATCTGTTCATGTAACTATTTCAACTTTAATAATATAATTAAACGAAAAGTCGCTTGCAATAAAAATTAAAGCCGTTAATTAAAATTTTCTAGAATGAATGGAATAATATAAAAGGAATTAATACGAGAAAGTTGCCTTTATAAATACCGGACAACGCAGATAATAAAAATTCTAGTTTCAAGGAAATTAAAATGCAAGTAGAAAGTCTAAAGGAAGCGAAAATATCAATGATGCAGTCACTATTTTGTATACAAAATCATAACGCATCAAGCATTAATTTGTTATCTAACCAGAATAATTATAAAATTAAATCGCTACGCAATAATCATATTAAAATAAATCATCATGTAAAATTCAAGACAAAAAAGGCACTTTAACACGTTCTATAATACGGCATACATAAATGTTGTAATGAAAGTTTTCCAGATTTTACACACTACTTTAAAAAGTAATGATTTTTTCGATGTATATAGTCGTTTTTTATTCTAAATGCCAAACTATTTCTTTAAAAGGAATTATTAACCATTTTCAGACACCTGCTATATCAGATTTTGGCATGAGATGACGCGTAAATTAGCAGATGGGACTTAGCAGCTGGCTATATTTTCGTACCAGATTGGTATCGCGAATGTGGAACCAACGCAGGGCCGGGCTTTTATGGCTAAAGGATCCGATATTGATACAAAGCACTTTTCGCTTTTGAGCCTACTGTACGCGACATGCAATTCAATTTTAGAAACAGAACATTGTGAACATATATGTACATAAATGTTAGAAGTGAGCCGAATGTGATTGTACGCTAAAGCCTGTTTTGCATAATGGTAATGGCTCAAACCCAACATTTGTACCAAATATATTCGTATTAATAACATGCTGGAACTGACAATAGTGCAGGGCATAGTGGCGCATTCGTTTGCAAAATTGTTTTAATCCGTAATTTTTTTTTTAATGTCCGGAAGTCTTTCCTGATTATAAAAGTGTAAGATGACACTCGATATCTGTTGATGTTATTGTTTAAATAACGAAAAATTAATTAAGCCAGAAAAAATGCATTTTTTGCAATGAATATTTCGAATAAAAAAAAGTCCTTACGTCCTTAATTAAGTATATTTTATTAATTTAGTTTTATCTGCCTATGATTATATTTAGTACAGGTTTAGGAAATGATAAACAAATAAAAAATATCTTAAATGTTTATATTAAGAAAAATAAACATAACTGAAAACTAATGATTAAAAATAGTTGGAATTGCGTTTAAAACTATCATTCTTCATGAGGTAATTCCTAATAATATTTCTGCAATTCAGGTAATCGAACCACGAACATTTGACTTCGACGTACGAAGATTAGGTAAGAATACTTTTTGCTTGTTAGTTTTACTGGTTCTGTGTTAAGAGATACTAATTTATTATCAAAAATATTTTCTGTCAGTCTTTTTATTTCAATACTGTCATCCTCTTTATGGTAATGACTTCGTTTGAAAAAGAAATTAGAAGGCATGTCTCTTCGGACCGTAAATTCCATAATTTCGGTCCACTTTAAATATTTTCCTGACACACTTTCTTTAACTGAATTCTTATAGATTTTAAGTTTTTCAAATCCAAGAAACGTGATCCCCAGCACTTATTATGGCAGTATTTATTATACTCTGCCCATGGTTTGTTTCGAAAAACCTTAGTGATATTTTTTCACAATTATCAAACAAATTTTATTCTGGCCATAGCAGCCGTCCGAATTGCTATTTAAGTTTAGTTTAAGTCGAGATATTGTTGTGTTAAGATATATGTTGTCAAAGTAAATTAGGAAATAGGTATTTAATATATAAATTAAATAATAAACTGCTTAAAATAAACGTCACAATACGTTTTATTATTAATTTTAGCTTAAAAAGACTTGCATTGCATGTAACTAAAGGTAATTAGTGGTCCTTTGAAGCAGTTAATATTAAAATTCAATTTTTAATCAACTTAATAACTTGTTACAAGAAAAATGACTAGAATCAAGGCATGTTAAATATGCTAACTATTTCAAAGATAAGGACGATCTTCTAGGCAAGTGTGAGCAACTTTTATTCCAGTAACGTTATCTATAGAATACTAATATTTATATTTTATGTTTACGCATTGTAAATTACAAATACCTAAGTGATTTATGATGAATTATTTCTTATTACTATTGTCGTTTTAATATCAATGCCTTATCGCAAATAATTGATAGCGTAGGCGTCTTATAATTTCTTAATAAGCTTTAAACAAATGGTAAACGACATAGCAAAATATTGTAATGGCTGAAATAAGGCCGGTATACAAAACAATACAGATAGACAAACTTTCCATATTATTGATAAAAAATATATTTATACCGCGTGTCCAAATAAGAAAGAATGCTGGCTGTATAGTCAGAGACAAAAGGAGATATTTATTGGTAAAATATAATATTCTTAACGCCGACATTGATACGGTCCAATTGTAGTTCAGGAGTGAAGATACATGTGGTGTGATGTATGGGAAGGGATAAACTGAAGAATTTGACGGCCATGCAAAACAATTTTATCAATGAATATATGTGTAAGCCGTTATACGCTCATAATAACGTACAAAATGCAAGCCATGTTGCCACATCTAGTACAAAATACTTGATATCCAACTTAACAATAACTAGGTTTTGGAATTTATTGAAAATTATTTCATCTAATTTAGTTAAATTTGATATAACTAATAATTAAATTTTTTTGTAGGTTCATTTGCAATAAAATTATTTTAGCTTTTTTAAGATATGTGTCTTATTCACGACAGCATGATATTTGTTTGTAGTTAGATCACCTGCTATCTCAGGATACAATCTATATCTCAGAAACTATGCGTATTACAATTTTGAGAAAAACATTTCGTGATAAAAGCGATCAAGAGTAATCGCTCGAAATTATTTTGACGATAAACGACTAGGTTATTAAAAAAGTGTAAAATTTCGTATATTTCTATATTTTCGAAATAAATATACAAATAAACAAATATTTGAAAAAAAAGTAACTTGACCATTTCAAAAAATTTCAAAGGACCACTTAACACTATAGTGGTTAAAAGAATATATAGGGTAATATATATAGGGAATATATATATATACAATATATTCCGTAACTGTACATTGAAAACAAAAAATTCCACGTTCGGTGTTTGAAAAAAAAAAAAAAAAAAAAAAAAAAAAAAAAAAAAAAAAAAAACAAAAAAAAAAAAATGGAAAAAGTTTCTTTAGATTAATTTGTCATAATTACAAATAGATATCCTCTCGACTTTTAGCAAAATTGTTGAATTTACTAATTGTTTAAGTTCAAGCTTAAGTCATTCCTAGAAGTTTTTGATATTATTTTAACAGCTAAAAAATAATAATATGAAAACAATGCTTACCTATGAATGAGATACCTATGTATAACTTCAGCTACATCGTGCATCTGTATGTACATACACACCAATTGGGGCAAGTAAAAGTCCACCTCGTGGTGATCGAAACTGAACATTTTGTTGACGATATAACACAAAACACCCGGTTCTTTGCTATTGAAGAGGTAGTGCATAGCCATCGAAACGTCGAACACTTTGCTCTCGAGCAATCGGAGCATGCCGGAGCTCTTCGACGCCTCGCCCGCACTCGCTTTAGTCCGTTCGCTGTCGGCACCGAACTTCGAAATACAGTCTAGCGCCGGTTCGGCGTCCTTCGTTTCGTCCGATTTAGGATGCTCAGAGGCGATGTTGTCGATGTACTCGACGGACGATTCGCGCGTCGCGTTCGATTCGGACGACGAGCCGGCGTCCGAACCGCACAGAATGCCGGAATCGTCCGAACCCAAGCTAGCGATTTCGTCGTTACGTTGTTTGGAAGACGAGCTCGGAAGCGGTTCGGACGATACGGTGACCGTCGAACACAAGATGGCGTTGACGGTTTCGCATTCCGGACTTGGTGTCACGTCCACTTCGGGGATGCGTTGAAGGGCGGAATCGAGGCTGCGGTTGCGGTGATGGTGGGTCAGGTGGTTGGTGGTTGATGTCGTCACTTGAGTTACTGGCGGCAAGAGGATACCCATTGACCTGAAACAAACGAATTAAACATGAATACGAGTATCACACAGAATCATACGATATCTTAACGAATATAATTGTAGTTGTCAGTAAAAAATATTGTAGGTATTAACAATAATACTAATATGTAATGACTCATTTCCAAGTAGGCTATTACGAGTTTTAGTTTCCTCACATGGGTGGGAAGTGATAGTGAAATGGAGATTTAATGGTCGGGAACGAATTCTCTATACCTGTCATAACAACACAAGGTGATACAAATCGTCCCAAACCGAGACAGTTGCCATTTTTCGTATATCTTGTTCAAACAATTAATTACACTTGGTCATGTTTTACGGTTAACTGGCTATTTATTTTTATTCTTTTATAAATTCACACATAGTATTGATCTAATTTGTGTTCCAATGACAAATAACAGTAGACTGATCTTAGACATTTTTCTTTCCTTGTTCCAATAAAGGTATGGTCCGTTATTAACCGACTACTAACCGATAGTAACCAGGATTTTTTGACAGCAGTTCCTGAAAAAAAAAAAAAACTAATTTCTTGGTTAATTTTGGATCACGGTCGAGATTTACGTCACTTTTGTGACAGATTGACATTCGACTTAATAAGGCGAGTTCGGATAGTCAAGGGCTGGAGCGGGACAAAAGCGGAGTTTTTAGGGTGCTTTTAAATGACATTTAAGCGTGTTAAACTGTCACTAATCGCATTAAACCACATACTTTGATTTTATTTTACTATACGGAGAATGGTCGCACTGCGCAGCTTTCTGAGTGCCTCTTAAAAGGAGATAGAAAACTCCGCCATTTTGATCCCTTATTACGTGTTGCCTACATCTTGGCGCAATATTTTTAATAGGTGCGTTTTAATCATCCGCTTCTGCTTCGGAATTATCGGTTTTCTTGTTTTAAACTGACAGGTTAAAACGACCAAACCGACAATTCCGGAAGCAGAAGCGGATGATTAAAACGCACCTGATATTTTTCTTGCTGCTGTCAGTGAATATTATTTTTGGAGTCACAGTTTATTGCTAAAGAATCAGTTAGCTCACTCGGACCAGTTGAAAGTTCCAAAATAACATCCACTCCAGGGATACAAATTCAGGATACGCAGAAGACTGCTGTTTTATTATAGGCGGTTGTCATATATTGTATTATCCGAGTTGCGCAGTGTATAAACTGGAACATTGAGATCAAAAGTGCCGACGCAGAATGAGCGATCTGATTCTTTAGCTATAAACTGTGGCATAGGAATCAAAATGGCCGCGCCCTATATTGGGCGTGTCGGACCTCTCTCTTGCAGCGTACGGTAATCAAAGTATGTAGACTAAACCAAACGCTTAAAGGGTCGTTTGGAGTAAAAAGTGTTAAAGGAACTTGGCAGGCCGAACGCAATGTTAGTAACGGTAAAAATATAGGCGGTTAGTGAATTGACGTTTGAATCGCCATTTTCAGGTAACCGCGTCCCTAATTTAGCCGATTTTTCAGGAACGTCAAGCAGAGCGGTTAGTTTTGGACCGAGTAATCGATATTTCAGTTAATAACGGATCATACCCTAAGATAGCAACATAAAATGAAAATTAAGACCATTATTATTATTATTATTACTACTATGATTATTTATTTAATTTTTTGAGTGAGTTTTGTTTATATGTATATTCCTAAAGTATGACAGAACAAAAATTACGTCACACTAATATAGCGTATTACACCAAAGCAATGTTATAAAAATATCAAGCAACATTTAAATGTTAAAGTGTTTTGTTTTCAAAACCAATTTAGTGAGAGTATTTTAATATACATAGCAGTACTTTTATAAACAATAACTATGTTTACATATTATTTTAATTATGGTTTAAAATTAAATGATTGTTAATAAAATAGTATGCAAATCATGACGGAAATTATCATTGCTGTCTGTGACTACAGATTTATATTTACCCTCGACAGTACTGATGAATTTTCCGTCTCAGTATGTAATCTACTATTTCACAACTGGTGAATGCTTTTAGTGAACTTTGTTGTTGCATTTTTATAATGAACTACTATAGTAGTAAAAAACAATTCGTAACCTTTTGTAACTGGGAGAATTCTAAGTTCAAATACAAAGACTTACATGGTCAAGCTCAACGTAGTATTTTTAAAATTGACCAATGTTTTAATTATGGCTACAAAATTACATTATAAAAAGAAATTGTGCTTTAACTATGGTCTTTCTTGGTCAAATTTTGTGATAGATTGACATTCGACTTAATAGTAACCGTAAAAATATAGCAGTTAGTGAATTGACGTTTGAGTCACCATTTTCAGGTAATGGCGTCCCTAATTTAACCGATTTTTCAGCAGAGCGATTAGTTTGGGACCAAATAACCGATATTTCGGTTAATAACGGACCATATCCTAAAAAAAAGCCACAAATTAGAATTTTAAATCCAAAAAAAGTTTATTTTTATTTGTTTTCTTTTCGCAACTGGTGACATAATGAACTTTTCGTAACCAGTTACATAGATAGTAGATCACTTTGACACTTGCTGCGTTTACAAAAAATATTACTTTATAGGTATGTCAAAATTAGAAAAAAGAAGTATGCCTTCCCAAAATTTTAAAACCAAAACTTAAATAATTCGAAAACTATGTGTCCCATTATTTTTTATATCAATCAATTGCAAGAAAATAAGTTTTGAGAATGGTTACTTATTATCGGCTCTTATAAAGCTATAGACTAAAATTAACTAATTAAAAAATATATATCTAATCAATGTTATCGCATTTAATATTGAATACGAAAACAATACTTATAAAAATAGATAATGATGTAAACATAGCTTCAAAGATAGATAGATAGATAGATAAAAAATTATCGATCTCTGGATAATTACAAATAAAACTAATCAATTAAAAAAAAAACCTTTCATTATGTCGTATTTATTTACGCAATAATAAATATTGGCAATTCTCCATCGAAAATTGATTTTTTACAATTGGAAACTGCTATACAATTTGTGATGAAAATAGATATGTGATCTTAAAGTAAGAGTAACTTTGTCAAATAAAAAAATAAAAAAAAATGAACGTATTAAACCAATAGTACACAGTCTGAGGGTTTAGGTCTTAGGGGATCACAACCTCTATAACCTATGACCTACCTTTTTGTTATACTCTGTAAAAGTAGGTAATTTAATAGAGAACAAATTTGGGATTTTGGTGTCGGCGATACCATCCCCAATGATCCCCAACCCATGAGAGTTTTGCCGACCGTCTTGACATGGGTCAAATCTTGATAAATAAAGTTCTTGTATACCGCCGACAACTTAAGGAGATACAAACTCAATAGATCTTTGATAAATTTACTTTATACATAATTTACTTAATAATACGAAGAATTACTTTAAAGATAATTTAATATGGAAATGTGCCTCTGAGTTAGCTAAAATTTCTATAAAAAATATGGAATTAAATAAATTTATCAAAAATTCCAAGAAAAGTTACAAAAATATTTTGAAAGTACTTGTGATTTTTGCAATATAACTGAGAAAAGTCGCTATGTACATTATACTGTTTCGAATATTTTAAAATATACGTTACATTCGGAATTTTTATGTAATGTATTATAAATTTCGAGATAAAAACATTATTTTTAAGCTTCTTATAGTTTCGTTTTGTTTCTTTGGTTACTTCATAATATTAATTAATAAACTTTGATTAAATGAGCTTGCAGTTTTTTATTTCAAATATTTCCAAAGAAAATTTAGAATTTCCTTGTTATTATACACTTCAATTGTTGAGCATTTATATCCTTATTAAGATTTAGATAATATCAAATCAGTATGAGGACGGACTGTCGGGCTACGAGCGGGTCAGCTAAAATGTCTTGATAGCGATAACATTTTCAAAATTGGTTTGGAATTGTTATCTGCTACCGGTCATGGTTTATTTGCTTTCTTGAATAGCGATAAGACTGTTTGAAGAAAACTGATGATTAATAACAATAATAGTGTACTTATTTGTTTTAAATTAAACCAACATACCAGCACAAATTGTTTAATAAGTATTAACGACCTTTGAACTAATGATACTTACTAATGTAATTATTATTTTTGTTTTTCTTCAAAATAGATCAAAATATACACATTGAACACACCCTGTGTAATAGAATAATATTTACATTTTGTTAATAGCAACATAATAAACCTTCATTTATGAGAAACTATCAAGTTATGTTTGATAGATGTGACAGTTAATGTTATGTTCAAAAGTTTTCTTCTTTTCTTTTAACAGTTCTAACACTCCTAACATGAGTTTTAATGTTTTGTAATATTAATTCTAATTATAATAATTAATCAAAAATAATATGGTTAGTATTATGTTATATTTTTTGTTAGAAGTGAGCAAGAGCTGATTAAATTTTTCAAAGGTAAAGTGATTGTGAAAACAATTTGGTTGAAAATGGGGGTTAAGGGGGTCTGTTAAACTGCGAAGAGTATCATTTAGAATGCCATGCATTTCATATCTTTATTCTAGTTTGTATCTGTGTAATATTATGTATTGTGATGGGACTGATCTTGTAAAATAAACATTTAAAACATTTTAGTTCTTATTTTATTTGCCAATAAAAGGTATTTAAAAAAATTATTTTTTATTTGACATCTGTGACAAATTGTGAAAATGATTAAATTTACAATAAAAACTGAAAAATGGTAGGTAAAGTTTCATATAATATTTTTTACACAAAAATCAATGTCAAGCTTTCTACATAACCTGATATACATATATTTAAATACAATCCAAATTATGAAGAAAAGTCAGTTTACTAACTAATAATATTTATAGATGGTTATTAAAAACAAAACAAATATTGCACTAACTAAAATATTCATTTATTAATAGTTGTAGTGCTTGAAAACAGTATGACGTTGAAAATAATAACTAAACTTAATACAAACTCAAATAATAAAAAAATCTGCGATATTGGCTCTTGTACAAAGTTTTGAACCGAACGTACAAATG